ACTTTCCCTGCACTAATTCTCCATACAAGAGATCTTTTGGAATCCAACCATCAGCCAGTCTCACAACATGCCCAAGCCAACGTAGACATTGCTATTTCAGTAAGGTATATATGCTAAAACTTCCAGTTCATTCTAGGACTACTCTATTTGGAACTTTATCCTGCCAGGTGATACCAAAAATGAGTCGGAGGCAACGCATATGGAATGTGTTCAGCTTCCTCTCCAGCTGTGCACAAAGGGTCCAGGACTCATTGCAGTACAGGAGTGTACTCAGGACACAGGCTCTATAGACCTGGATCTTGGTATATGCCATCAGCTTCTTGTTAAGCCATACTGTCTTTGACATGGTAACTGCTTTGCCAATACTTTTATCCAGCTCGACATCTAGGGAGAGGGTGTCATAGATCGTTGGGCTAAGGTACACAAAATCATGAACAACCTCCAATTCTTGTGTGGAGATGGCAATAGAGGGAAGTGAGTCCACGCCCTGGCCCATGACTTCTGTTTTGTTCAGGCTGATTGTTAATCCAAAATCTTGGCAGGCCTTACTAAAATGATTCATAAGTTGTTGGAGCTCTTCAGCAGAATGGGCAAAAACAGCTGCATTATTGGCGCACATGCATTTCAGCTGGAATTTGGTCTTTGCTCTCAATCTAGAGAGATTAAAGAGCTTTCCATCTGAACTAGTCCATAGATAGACACCTTCTGTTGCAGTTCCAAAAGTGTGCTTCAGCAAAACAGCAAAAAAGATCCCAAACTGGATCTGTGCGAGGCATCAAAAACTACAGTGCCCTTCATTTCCTCATGAAAGGACCTGATGATGTTAAGGAGACGAGGTGGATATCCAATCTTGGGAAGTATTTTTAAAAGGCTGTCTCTGCTAATCAAATCAAAGGCCTTTGTGAGATCTATGAAGGCCACAAAGAGTGGCTGTTGTTGTTCCCTATGTTTCTCCTGCAGCTGTTGGAGGGAGAATACCATGTCAGTGGTGGATCTATTAGCTTGAAATCCACACTGTGATTCTGGATGGACTCTGTCTGCAAGCACCTGGAGTCTCTTCAGCACAACACGGGCAAGCAGTTTCCCTACAATGCTGAGAAAAGAGATGCCATGGTTGTTATTGCAGTCGCCCCTGTCACCTTTGTTCTTATACAATGTGACAATGTTTGCACCCTTCATGTCCTGTTGTACCCCACCTTCCCTCCAGCAAAGACAAAATATTTCATATAGCTCAGTGGTGATGATCTCTTTACAACATTTCAGCAGGGATATTATCCTTCCTATGTGCCTTGCTGGAGGTGAGGGAATCAAAGGCCGCTTTTATTTCTTCTAAAGTTAGTTTGCTGTCCAACTCTTCCAAGACAGACAGGCACTCAATGTTATTTAGCACCTCCTTGGTTAAATGTATTTTCTCTGGGATATAGCTCAGAGTAGTGCTGCACCCAGCGTTCCATCTGCTGTGCTCAGTCCTGGATGATCACACCTGTAGCAGATTTCAAAGGAGCAGATTTCTTTTGTATTGGACCTAAGGCCTGCTTGATACCATCATACATTCCCTTGATGTTACCTGTGTCCACTACTATCTGTATCTGAGAGCAGAGTTGAAGCCAATAATTGTTAGAACATCTCATGGCAGCCCATTGGACTTTGCTATGAGCAACTCAAAGAACCTGCAAGCTGTACTCACAAGGACAGGATTTGTATGCTGCTAGAGATCTCCTTTTATCCTCGATGGCCTATTGGACTTCCTCCGAATGGGCTTCGAACCACTGCCATCTTTTTGGTCTTCTTGCCAAATGTGGACAGGGCAGTGTTATAAACAGCATTTTTGAAATGTTCCCATCATTCAGGTGCATTTGCATCAGCTGGGCCTGGAAGGGTTTCCTCAAGCGCTTTGGCAAATTCCTCCACTTTTCTTTGATTGCGAGTCTTGCTGATGTCAATATGTGGTCTTCCTTCCTTTTTTGTGCGATACAATCTCTTTGTTCACAGTTTTACTCTACTACACACCAGGGAGGGATCAGTATCGCAATCAGCACTCTGATAACTGTGTGTGATCGTAATACTAGGAAGGCTAGAACGTCTAATGTGGATCAAATCAAGCTGATGTCTATGCTTCGATCTTGGATGTCTCCAGGAAACTCTGTGTTGAAACTTCGTATTAAAGAATGTGTTGCTGACGCAGAGACCATAATAATAGCAGAACTCCAGCATGTGTTGGCCATTTTCATTCATCTTCCCAATGCCAAAATGGCCTAGACAAGTGGGCCAAGAATTGTGATCAGAACCAACTCTAGCGTTAAAGTTTCTGAGAATGAACAATGGCTTTATCTTGGGGATTTTTTTGATAGTAACTGCCAGATTGTTGTAGGATTTATCTTTGACTTCTGTTGTGGACAATCGTGTTGGTGCATATGCACTAATGAGGGTGACCGGTCCCGCTGATGAGTGGAGCTGCAGAGACAGGATTCTTTCACTCCCCACAGTAGATGGAACAATGGATCTCAGCAGAATATTTCTGATCGCAAGCCAACACCATGTTCCCTGGTCTCATTCAATGGTTTTTCCTTCTAGAAAAATGAGAAGTTTTTTTCTTCGACACATCTCATGTCTGGCAGTCTCGTCTCTTGCAGGGCTACAATGTCCATCTGCAGTCTACTCAGTTCCATGTCGATCACAGCTGTCTTGCACACATTGTCTATTTCCTGCAGGTCATCAGAAAAGCCAGGGGTCATTGTCCGAACATTCCAGGTGTCCAACTTTAGGGCAGAAGTTTTCTTATGATTGTTGCATCGTGCAGGGTTATCGATTTGCTTGTCGGGTTTCACCCTAAACCCCACGCACCCCGTGAGGTTAACGGACCATTACAAGGTAGCACCTTACCGGCTGGGGAATGCCCAACTTAAGGCGGGCGGTAGCTACCTAGTGAGGTGCAACGACCTCTCCCACCGTTGGAAGTAGCCCCTGGCATCATGTTCTACACCAATCAAGCAAGCATCGGTAACTGCTACTTCCTGTGTTGTTTCGACGCTGTATGCAAAGCTGGAACGTCCTCTCCAGAGCATGCAGCCTGGGTAAAATAATATGGGGGATAGGCTGTTACCCAAGCAGCAAATCCCCCCTCTCCACATTGCTAAAATAGTCCAACGGAAAGGCAAGAGCCAATACAACTGGTTCCAGCGATGTTGCAGAAGTTGCCAGAATGACACGAACTGCCTCCAGGACTCCAGCTCCAGATTTTGTGTCAAGGTTAACTCCTGAAGCCTTTTCCATCAGTAGATATATCCACAAGGCAGTGTAGGTTTGAAATCAGAGTTTTTCTTCTCCTAGATGGGCTGCCTTCCAAGGCTGACGAGCCCCACATACCTGGCCTGCTCCCTGATAGTGCGGAAGATTAGAATACAGGCCTAATCTCTGGAGTGGACTAGCAGTGGAATTAATATTGGTAATTAGACTGTTTTTTTCATGGCACCTGTGGGCATCAGGCTAGTTCAAGTGGCACAGGAGAGGCCAAGTGGCATGTACAGTCTGGCTTCCTACGCATCATTGCTTCTTCCCCCCCTCTAATATCTGCCCTCTGAGGCAACCAATTAACTCTGTCCCATAGTAAGTCTGGGCCTGCTACTGCTGTTATTTACATTTTAAAAACCATGCAAGTTCATTACATCCCCACACATAGCATCATGTTTAACATCCATCCTCTGCGTATGTGTATTAATAAGTCAACACAGTAAATCTATATGGTATTTAATATTTTCCCTTTATGTTTCATTGGGGTATGTCATTCCAATTCTGTAGTAATAGATGAAGACTTATTTATTTATTTAAATGTTTAAAACATACTCTTCATTCTTACAGATACCAGGGCAGTGCCCAAATATGGTTAAAACATTAGAAACTCTAGTATAGGCTATGAAACTAAAAGCAAGAAGCAAAACCAGTCAAATGAACCAAACAGCTAATGAAATGCCCCGGCCAAAGGGAAGAAATTAAAATAGGGTTAGAGCTGTCATTTATCCAGGTAGAGGAGGTCTTTCATTGCCGTGGTTCCACAGTTGTGAAGTCCTTCTCCATTGTTGATATTTTATGCCAAATCCTACATTATGGATAGGTTCCTCCTGAAAAGAGAGAATTCCTTAAGTGCTGAAAGAATTTGATCATCACAGCTTTTCACACTAGCTGTAGCTTTCACATTAGCTGTTTTGTGATTGGTGAGCAGGAAGTAAACAGAATCTGTTTGCAAACAGGATTGTACAGTCAGAAAGGTCTGTCTGGAGCAGGGCTGTGGAATACTAATGGATTTCAGTTTCTAACAATGAGCTACAGTATCTGTAATGTATAATTTGGCACACAGAGTACTTGAGATGTATGGAACAGTCTTCCCAGATGATCTTAAGCTGTGGTCAAGCTGATAGAGGTGGAGAGGCTCCTGAAGATAGTTGGTTCCCAAACCATTTAGGGCTTCAAAAAGAAGCACCAACATCTTGAATTGAACTTGAAAATGAATTGATTTACTTCTCTTTGCTTCCAGATGTGCCAAGCTTTGCAAGACCGAAAGGAGAACTGCGATTTTTGGCAGACTTTGGAGAAGCGATCACAGTCGAAAGGGGGGATTCTAGATCCAAGACTGATATTGGCAAAACAGTGTTCCTTGGCCAAACTGAAGAACGTACTGGGTCTCTTGCTTTCTTTTGTCCAAGAGGAGAGAAAGGGGAAGCAGGAGAACCTGGCCCACTAGGCTATCAGGGACTGAAGGGAGACAAAGGGTCCCAGGGAGGATCCGGTGCCAAAGGGGATCCTGGACCAAAAGGAGATCCTGGAGAAAAAGGGGGGAGAGGCATAGCAGGTAGGAAGGGAGTAAAAGGATCATCTGGGCCACAAGGGGTTCAAGGGACTCCTGGGATAAAAGGAGACCCAGGAATACAAGGAAAACTAGGCGTTCCTGGCAAACAGGGCCCAACAGGACTTCCAGGCCGAAAAGGGGAAAAAGGGCAGAAGGGGGACTGTAGAGCTGTTGAACCCACAGCCTTTTCAGCTGCTCTTCAGAAAAGAAGAAGCTTCCCATTGCCAGGATCCCCAGTGAGATTTGAAAATATTTTTCTGAATGAAAATGAAGCTTATCATGACAAAGGTGTATTTACTGCCACTGCTGAAGGCACCTATTTTTTCAGTTATCACCTGAGTGTTTCCAGGAAACCACTGAGAGCTGCTCTTTTCCACAATGGCCAGAGAATTCTGCAGGTCTCTGGTGGGGGGCAGCCACCTCCACAGGGCATATCCCAGGTATCTGGGTCAGTGCTGGTTCATCTCTCTGAAGATGATGAAGTTTGGCTCCAGATTCTGAATGCCTCCCAGAATGGTCTGGTGGCTGATGAAACCACCGATTCTGTGTTTTTAGGGTTTCTTTTATACCCTGATTAATACACTAAGCTAAGCTACAAACTAATAGAACAATGTAAAAAAAATCTTAATTGAAAAAAACAACAAAAAAACTGATATTTGTCAAGTTCTGAAACTTGTTCCACTATTTCAACCAATGGATTTTCTGTTTTGCATTTCAAATACACTCAACTCACATTTCATTTTTCCCCTCTGTTCCACAATATTGGATAGACAGATTGACAAGGTGTAGACTAGAACCAGAAAGTTTCTATAATATTATCCATAGCCTAACAAGCAGAGCCTCAAAGTTGGAACTCCAACTCCACTTCTGAAAACGTAGGACCAAGTAGACCAAATAGACCAAGGTTCAAACAGCCAGTTAGCCATGAAGTCAGTTGGGTGACCTTCAGATAGTCACCCCATCTCTCAGCCTACACGACCTCACAGGGTTGTTGTGAGGATAAAAGATGGAGGTAGCATGTACTTGTTATGAGCTTCCACAGAGGAAAGGTGGGATATAAATGCTAACAGTAAATAAATGAAAAGAAGGTGACTAAGAGCTGAGCTGAGCTTGCTAGATCTCCAAATTGAACATCTTACCGGCATATGCATTGAGATAACAGTGTTGAATCCATGTTGAAAGAAAGCTGAGAGACTTATTATGGTCTTGGAAGCTCAGGATTAGCAAAGCTTTCTTTTCTCTCAGTTAGCCCCTTTCTTGCAGAGCTAAGCTTTTGGTGCCTAGATTTGAATTGAGAAGTGTAGAAGGAGCTTTCTGTTTCTTATGTCACTTCAAAATGTGCCATTAATTTGTGCAGACCCCTATTCATCCCAAGACAAGTATTTTAAAAATCCATTAATTTTCATCTAAGATCTTTGGAAGTTTGCACATTTTGAATTTACATTTTCTTTGCTTCTGCCTGTAATTCTTAATAAATTGCAATCATAAGACTCGGAAATTTCAATTTTTTAATCTGAATTTCCTTTGTTGTCTGGTGTGCAACTCAGTCTTCATTTACTCAGTATGTGCCAGCCAGAGTTTGGAAAAGTTATCTTTTTGAAACTCCAGCAGGCTCTCTGCATCTATGGGGGATTGGTTCCAAGCCAGTGCCCCACTAAAAATGTGGATTATTGTAAATGACCTTATAATAGCAAACACTATAAAAATGGTGATTCATTTTGATCCATTATTCATCAAGGTTAATGAATAAATGAGTACGAATAAACTAATATTCATCGACGAATTGACAAATCAATCAGTAGATTCATCTGCACTTTAAAAAGCTATAACACTGGCCCCCGACAACCTGGAGACACCACATTTGGAGCTGCTCTTTTCCTTCTCCTGGACAGGAGCCTTGGGTGGTTCCTCTCCAGATGTTGGTAGAGGACACCGCTGGGGTCTGACCCCCCTCCGGACCACCCCAAGACTGGTATTGCAGTGTGCCAGCTGTGAGTCGTTGCTGAGCACCGTGAAATGATCCCACATGGCCCCCTGCCATGTTTGCCCAAACAAGAACCCATTGCCTGCCCCTGACTGCTGGCCTGGGAAGAACTCTGTGTCCCAGGGGTGCTGCTGGTATGGGAGGAGGGAACAGATTGCTCTGGGGACAGGACTGGGTTGGGGCTGTGAAGCCTGCCCTGCCGTTACTGATTCCAAAGTGGACTGGGGATCTTCGGAAACCAGTAACTCCTCAGATTCCTCTAGGAAGAGGAGTGGCAGTTCTTTTGGCACCTCTGGAAAATTTGTTTGCCTGCCTGCCTGCAAGGCCACAGGAGGAGGGACAGTGTCACTGGTTATCGTAGACGTGGTTGTGCATGTGGTGGTCATGATGACAGTGCTGCTACCTAGCCTGCATAGCTTCACAGACTTCTTTCCCTTAGATTGTCCCTGAAAAAATCCCTTCATTTTCTACTGCCTGCCTAACATACCAAGTAAACAAATAAAGCAATGGAGATTGAGGAAGGAGACTAATAGAGAGTCAGAGAGTGTGTGTAAATTTTATTTTTAGAATGATTGTGGTGTAATTCTTTTACTAAAATGTGCCCTGCCTGCCTGCCTAAACAAAGCCCCCTCAGTATAATGTAATTAGGAAAGTCTCCCCACCCAACCCACTGTGACAGAGAAGCCAAAAAAGGCCAAAAAGAAAAGCCCTGTCAGCTAAGTCTCAGTCGCACACACACAGACACCCAAATAACTTTTGGAATAAAAAGGAATGATGGATCCAGCCACCCACCAAAT